AAACATGGAAATACCGGTTGATGCAGACCTGTTTACAACAAATGATATGAATTTCGCCTGACACGGATGAAGCACCATTTTTTTCACCGTCAGAGACCTCGAACGTGGTCTACTCTACTGTTCCAGCTTTGCCGGTTCAAGCGACGATTACGGCACAGATCGGGGAACCCTGGAACGGTGTTTCTTTGCGGTTGTTGTCACTCTGACTCTGAGACAAAGAGAAAGGTGGTGGTTGTCGAGTTTCGAAAGCTTATTACCATTTTTCGGTTTATACGTTGTTACACTGATTATCACACTAGACAGTCGAGTCGGTTAACAAAGCGAACAAGACGAACCGCACCGCGGTACCTCGTACAGCATGCATGGTCGCTCGTCTTTTGCTGTGTTACAGAATTTTGACATGAGGTGAATTGCTTGGTCAGAGGAATTGACGGTTAAGCGAAGTTTTACAGGTCTGCAGCCGCGCCCGTCTGACTACAACTGTCTTATTCTCAACTGCTTTCGGCCGGTTGATGAGTTTCAAAACTGAACCTCAGGCGCCGAGTACCTCAAAGCAAACGCCGTCAACCGAAGGAACGCAGACCGCGACGAACGAAGCACGTTAAAGAGTATCTGGGTAAAAACGAACGACGACTTACAGAAGAGTATTCACATGATGGGTCCCCTGAAACAAAAAATTCGATTGAAGGCGATGAACCGGACGGCCAGCCAACAGCTATCGTTTCAAACCGACCGACAAGCCGAAGGAAACGTGAGACGAAGTCCGATCGTTTGTTCGGCTGGTCACACCAACGAGCAATTATACAAGTCGGCTGTGGTAATCGCCGTTGCTGCATATGATCATATAATGAATGATGAACCGCGACACCCAAGGGACGCAGCGACACAAGGGTTGGTCACAAGCAATCAGGTGACAAGGCACCAACGGTCGATAAACGGTCACGACCCGATACCACAGACAGAGGCGGATGGACAAGGCGAAGTACTACGAAGCATGAACGACGTCGATGACCGAAGCCCAACGGACCGATGGCTATCGGTCAGCCGAGCCGGTCAGCAAACCGGGGCTATTCAGCACTGATAGGGCACTGTTGTGTTTGCGGACCGGTGATCGATAAGCAATTATGTTTATTTTCCTTACTCTATTTGTTTATAGACATCACGACGAATTAGAGGTCTCGTCGTCGTCGTGGATCGATCACCAGCACAGGCGACACAGCGACGCGACAACGACTACAAGTGGCAGTGGCGGTGGCTATGGTGGCACAGTGACAACCAAGACGGCAATTCTTTTCGCACCTCAGTCAGTCGCGCACCGAGGAACGCGGAAGTCGTCGAGCATGATCGTCGTCTGCGGAGGCAGCGTCTGTCGAGGAACGGGTTCGCAGCCGCCAAAGCGGGGCAGGGAGGGGGGGGGCAGGAAAGGAGCGGAGGACACTGTTCACCGTGTGTCGGGCGACAACCGGAAGGACCGAAAAGACTGCTTGCCCGCGGGCCACGGTGACGGGACGGACGGACGCACAGCCGTAGCTCGCACCGAGGGCTTCGCCTCGATTGGACGGACGGAAGGGAAGGCAAACAGACGACACAATGAGCGCATGGCACCAGCAAGCATCGTCAACGAACAAAAGCAGGCGGTGCACAACGCGTGTACCGCCACAGTGCCTGGCAAACAAGTAGTGCTGGCCAACGAGCACACTCGGTTTTCTTGATGGTCTGTCTGTCCGGCTTGAGAGGTGTGCAGAAATCCGCTGGAGGTTAAAGAAACGGACAGCGGAGTTTTCCATGCACGCAAGATTTTCGCAACACAGGCGCACACAGACAGACAGACAGACAGACAGACAGACACCGTTCTGCGGAGACAGGAAACCACCACCACCGACCGACGGCTGACGTGGAGGAGCCGCAGCCACTTCGATGGCCAACGATGCAACACCACTAGGTGAATAAGAACCGAATATTTAAGAAAGAAAATCTGTTACAACGGTCGCTTAGTCAATAATCAATACGTTGTGTGATTGAGGTACAACCGGTCAGTGGCTAGAAGCCGACAACTGTGGTGGCCAGCCTCCGGCTAAGTATGAGGAAGACAGCACTGATTATAGCTGTTAAACAGACAATTAACGCATTCTCCGAAACCACCTCATATAATCGTCAGCAAAAATTG